TATAATAATTGTATTTCAAATGGTTTACCCTAATGTATTACTTAGGCTGTTTAATAAGGTTAGGCTGTATTAGCTGCTTTACTGTAATTAAAACTGTGTAGTGTGTGTGGTAACAGATTCATCAGACAAACTATTTAAAAAGTTACTTTCAACCGTGCCCAGTAATATAATTTTTAGATTTTTGTGATGAAATGTTTTGAGTTTCTAAATGATAAATAATTGTTGCCCATATTGCTTGCATCTTTTAACAGAAACTTATAACATTTATAGTAAAAAAATGTAGTTTAGTTCAGTATGCTTTGTGCATTATTTTTAACAATATAAATATTAAAAAGTTTATCTTTAAAATCAAACATTCATTCCAGATAACACAATTTTAACTTTATAGTAAACTGTCCTGGGTAAGATTAGTGCTGTACTAAGGATGAACCTTACTGTGTATTTTTAATTTTCTTGACAGAAAAAAAAATTGAAAAGGCAACATAATCAAAAGCTAAAGTTTGGTACTGCTTGACATAATTAACTTAAAAAACAAACAAACATGTTCTTATCTATCTTAACATTAACAGTTTCTTGTAAGCAGGTGAACAAAGCCACTTATTTTCATATTACTTCTTTCATATTAGAAATTTTAAAGTTCCTAATTCTATATCTTTAGGTCAAACTTTCTATCATGAAATAAATGCAGTAATAAGTCTTAATTCATTTGTTTTGGATTTTTTTTTTGCCAAGCTAAACAAACCATCTCTAATTTTGAAATGACAGACTAAAGGGAAGGCAGTGTCTATTGCCAAGTCTTGTCTGACAAAACAGTGAGATTTCACCATCACTTTTATAACACACCCATAACTCTAAAGTGCAGTGTTTTTTTTTTACTGCAATGAGCCAGGAACCCCCAGACTTACAGTCTGAGCACACTAACCACTGGGCACCTAGCCATTTTTATTTGATTAATTATAATCTGTGTCAATACTTGACATTTCAATCAACAATATGAGATCATTTTGTTACTGTTATTAACTTTCTATAGATAACACTATAAAAACAGTTGTAACATTTAAAAATCCATTCTAACATTCTAGATTAATGTTTCTCCAAAATATATATATATATTTTATTAAAGTCAAAAATGCAAGGCAACAAGAAATCTTAGTTCTTCTTTGAAACCTAAGGTAAGTAGAGTTAATCAACAGGTGACAATTTCATTCATAGCTATAACACTGATACCCATGGGTGGCCAAATCTCCCACAGATTTAAAAGCCAAAAATAAATCCTAGGATTCAGGATGGTAGCTTAATCCAGTGATGGGCAAGGGAGAGAGATTCATACCTTGTCCCAAGAAAATTTATTAACTAATTTTCAATTTTGTGCAATTTTCAGATATAAACAAAATATACATATTGCCTTTGGTGTAATTTAATGTTTACAGTTTTTTTAAGGTGAACCAACCACTGAGTATTTTATGTATGATGCAGAACTATATAATGCTCACTGAAATTTTTAATGCCAATTATCAATGAATCTCAGCAACTGAGAGCCTTCTAGCTAATACGTGAATATTGGCTGATGGCCAAACATCAAAAACCTAAAAGTCTTTGGAAATGTGGAGATTCTTTAAAGTATTTCAATACTTATTAAAGCTTAAAATGTTGTATTAATCTTTTATAATGATGTTTAATTAGATTGCAAATATTACTGTATATACGAAAAACATTTTTTTTTAATGTATAATGCGCTAAGAATTCCCAGACACCAAATCCATTCTTTTATGTCCCATGATGACCAACCTCACGGAATTCAGAATGCCTTTTTGATATCAAAAGAGAAGTAATTAAAATTACAGGGAAACAAAATTTGAGTTGAATTACATTATTGTTACTTCAGTTAGAAATAAGTTATTCCAATCCCTTCAACAGGGCCAAATTTAGGCCCTTTGAGGTCCCCCATGCAATACTGTAACACTGGAGGCCCCTTACTACGATAATTCAAAATTGAGGTTTCATCCTTTCTAAATCTGACAGACCTTCAACCATTCCTACACTTAATCTTAACATATTTACTATTTCATGTAAACCATGACAGTTCTAAATAAAAAAAATACATTTATTAATTGTTTCTAGCTACACAGAACTTATTTTCTTTTTACAATTCCCCTCTTTTTCTTTTTCCTGTGCTGTTTTTGCTGCAAGTGTTTCTTCTTTCTGGCTTGTTTCCTATCTTTGATTTTCTGTTGCTTATTTTTCTGTTTAAAAACATTACTCTTCTTCACTGCAGCAGCATTGTTTCTTCTAAGATGTTTTTTCACATCAGATGTCCTGAAGAGAAATGTAATTTATTTGTAAATACTTTTACAGGGTACATTTAAAGCTAATGTGACATTAATTCTGCTTATCTTAAAATAAAACCTTTAACTTGTTTTACAATTTAGATATTGATATGGTCATTAAATATCCAGAGACAAAAACAAAAGGAATGTCTTTCTTATTCTTCGTAAAATAAGTTATTTTTTTCTTCTTTGGATTTCCCCAAGAACATCTGTATTTGTGAAAATAGCTAATGTTTAAAAGTATTTTTCAATTAAATACATTATAGCTTTAATGTATATTTCACAACAGATTCCTTTGTATTGAAGCTGACACATGGAAATGTTGAAAATATGAACAGCAAAAAAATCTGCACCAAACGTTTTTTTGTAATTCACTAAAGTTCTAAAACATTATTTTTTTCCTTTCCAGGTTATTTGGTTTATTTATCAAACCAAAGGTTTCATTTTTATATCAAGTCTTAAAGCAACTTAACAGAAATTCTTATCTTTCTTAATACGTGAATCATCAATCAAACTAACGTGATTTACAAAAAAATTCATCACCACGAATAGAAATGCATTAAGAAATAATACAAGTTTAAATACAAAAGAAGGCTTTCACAGTACTTCATTAAACATTATGAGATGTGGTATTCAAAACTTCCTCGATCTATTTGTAAAACTAACCTAAATCTCGTTCACTATCTTACTGCCACACATCCACATAAATTGTAAGTATAGAGAATGATGTTATGTGTTGTTTACCTAACAGGATCTTGGTCATTTCCAGGTCGAGATTCCTGTGACTCCTCTATTTCTGAGATCTCATCATCAGATTTGTTTGTGCCAAGTTGTTGGTCCCTGTAACCAACTAAATCACCATCTTCCAGTGTACTGATGGTGACTGTGTGCTTTTCTAGGTCATAGGTTATTGGTTTGAAAAGATGTTCCACCTCTGAAATAGATTAACTAAGCCTGAAATCTTGCACTTTTAATATGCAAAAAAAAATCAACTCAACTAGACTAATGTAATAAGTAAAGTATCGTGCAATTCTAACAACCAGTCTTGTCTGTCAGAAAATTGCATAACACATATTTAGCTGCCATCGGAAGCCCACATATTTTAGATTTATGCTACTTATGCACAATCACCATATTTTTTTAAGCTGCAAGACTCAGTATGCTGTGACTAATGACTTAATGGTCACCTAATATCGTAAGCCTGGAGAGTTAAAATCTAAAAATACTATACTTTATTTGAGTATTTTATTAGACTACTATAAACTACAAATAGTTAAGTTATAAACTGTCAGTAGTAAAATACTTTTATACACATAACAGCTACAAAGGTTTATGGTTAAGATGTATATCTCTATAAGTAGACAATAAATAAAATCAATGTTGTGTAAGAAAATATATGTTTCACAAAGTTTCCAGGTGCACTGGTCATTCTCCAAGTTTACTTCATACAACCCCACAATAAATATGATGCTACACATCCAACCATTAAGTTTTTTCTGTACTGATGGCTTCAAGGTTTTCTAAGTGATTTGGGGTAATTTGTGAGATCAGTGCATATATCGTGTGCATAAACTTAAGTAGTACCTTACTAGTTATGATTGTATCAATAATAATGTAAGGAACAATTTAACTGGTTTTTCTTTTCACACTATACTAATCTGAAAGGTAAAATGTATGATACTGTAAACTTTTAGAGTAATATCATTTCCAGTTAGCTCAAAATAGTTGTTATGATAATACACCGGGGCCCCACTATAACGTGGTCCATATCACAAGACCGTGTTATAACGAGGTCCTTTCAAAAGTGCCTAGTCAGTAGCCAGTATAATGGAGAAACTACAAATAAACTGACTAAACTGATTAAAACAGCCTCATTAACAGATAAACCATCTGATCTAACGTAAACAAATAAATTTCTGGTAACAAAAAAGTTTTACAGAGAGAAATGCCATTCAATTTTGATGAGAAATCTCATAGGCTAAGCCTCTTAATTAGTCATAAGGCTGCCATCTACTTGGCTGATTCTAAAACCTAACTACATGTTTTCTTATCAAAAATTTATTCTTAAAATAACAATAAAGGCATTATCAATAATCCAGCATTAATAAACAGTTTTGTCAGTTGTGGAGTATTTATACTTTAATAATGTTTGAAAAGTAGCTAAAAAGACTGGAAATATGTTCTGAAAGAATAAATTTCAATGAAAATTTGGGGTCCAAGATGGACCTGCATTATAGAGTTCCAAGCTATAGTGATCCACATTATAGTGAAGCCCCAGTGTAGTGATAGTTTTCATGTAAGATTGTTTGTTTGTTTTTTGGGGTTTATTGGCACAAAGCAAGATGGCTGGCTCTCTGCACCAAACCATCAGTGTAAAGACAAAAACAGTGTAAAACTCAAGTAAAAAGAAATCAAGTTAAAAGCCAAACATTGTCATAAAGCTAGTAAAAACACAAATAGATCTAAAAAGGCCAATAGCCTGTAAAATGCTACAAACACAATCAAGTTGAACAGTGTCACCATCACCAATGACACAGCTCAGTGTCAGGGGTAAACCCTTAGAAAACATGTGTCTAAAATGGTGCTACCACTCAGAGTCGTAAGGACAGCACAACAATAAAATGTGGGCTATTGTGACTTGAGTGTCACAAAGCCCACACATTGGTGGACCAGTTCCAGATAAAAGAAAACAAGTTAAAAAACTGACTGATGTGTAGCCTAGCCAAAACAACTTTCTCCTTCCGATCCTTACAGAAACAAGACGGCCAAAGAGCAACAGAAGGTTTGATTTGGAAAAGCTTGTTATGACGTTGTCACACCAAGTCAACTACCAACTGGTGAGAAGCCATGCCTTGAAAACAGGACCATAGTCCACATATGGGACAGGCATCGATGTGACAGCACCAGAGCAGACAGACTTAGCTGCGGTGTGTCACCAAGCTCTTTTTCAAGAATACCGAAATGGCCAGGTATCCAGAAAAACTGGATAGATATTGGAGATGGAGAAAAATGGGCCAGTTGTTGTTAAATATCAACAAGAACATAGTGAGAACTCATGTTAACCAATTCCAAGGCCAGGAGACAGCTAAGAGAGTCAGTGTAAATAGTACAATTGGTGTACTGCACAGCTTCTACATGATCCAGGGCAAGAGAAATGATGACCGACAGTAGACGTGAAAGTCATCAACATAGAGGTCATTTGCAACAGTAGGAGGAAGTTGTTTAGTGATAACATTGATCTTGACACTGAAAATGGTGACACTCAAAACACAGCCCTTAGGGACTCCAAGTTCCTGTGTGAAAGAATGAGAAAGGGTTGAACCCATACAGACTTGGAATTGCTGGTCAAGTTGCTAAAAAAAAAGGGTAAATGGCCAAATAATCCATATGAGTGAAGGTCCTGCAAAATATCATACATCCTTGTATTGTCATAAGCCTTCTCACGATCAAAGAAGACAGAAAGAAGATATTCTCTCTTGAAGAAGCTCAAGATTTCAAGTTGAATCAGGTTGTTCACAGTGGAGCACTGTCGACGGAACCCACCTTGGGTGGATGAGAGGAGGTTGTTTGATTCAAGGAACCAAACAAGACGTGTATTAACAATCCTTTCTAAGACGTCACACAGACAGCAAGCCAAAGCAATTGGACGATAATTAGAAGGGATCCTTCCCAGGCTTAGAAAAAGGTAGAACAATAGCTAAACATCAAGAAAAATGTTCTTCTGCCAGATCCAGTTAAAAACAACCAGAAGATGAGCAGGAGAGAGATGGCACAGCAACTCATAGTGCACATCATCAGGTCTAACCAATGAAGAGCAAGCTTCAATTTCACCAGTGTAAAAGGGTGAGTATAGTCATAGATATGATTGGCCTGAAAGGAAAGAGGCAATTGCTCTGCTCAAGACTTGATGGCCAAGAAGTTAGGGGAAGAAACAGAAGTGCTGGAGTGATAGGAATAACACTCCCCGAGAGTATCGGCAATGTTTGGAACATCAGCAACTTCTTGGAGATTGGAAAGCAAGATGGAAAGGAGAGGGGAAGCGTACTTCCCATTGACCTTCTGAAAATTGTCCCATATGACTTTGGAACTGGTGGTAGAAGATATGCCGGTGGTGAACTTAATCCAAGGTTTCTTTTATGTCTGACCTGCCAAGCATGGGCATCAGCCTGCTGGAAAGCAATGTTGTTGGAAATAGTGGGATACCTGCGAAAGGCATCCCAGGCCCGTTTCTGAGCCTTCCGTGCCTGCTGGCAGACAGGAGACCACCATACCGTGGGAAACGTGTCAAGAATTTGGGGACAGAATGAACAGCTGCTTGGAGGCAGATACAAACAGTAACTACCTCCAAGCAGTCATTGATAGATGGAAGACTAATGACAGCAGGATCATCTACAGGAATTCACGGCCAAGGTGTTGTGTTGCAGTGCTCCAGACACCACTAGACCACCAGGATCCTCTCCTCCCTTTCATGGGTTGCCATGCACAAAAAACACATGGGTGGATGTTCAGATCCCAGATGAGAAAAACAGAAAATACAGGTCCCTCACCATGTACACGAATCCACAGGGGTTTCATGTAAGAATAAAAGTCCAATAAGGTACAATGTCAAAATAGTTATTCATTTATTACTATACCAATGTTAAAGTTATTTCATTTACCATCAATCAATATTACTCGCTCTCCACAGAACATAAATTGATAAGATTTAGAAAATTATAGTAATAGCTAAACTGTAATTAAAGCCAGTGTCTGTAATATGTGAAACAAACATTTTTATATCTTATGCTTTATAAACCACCACAAATATTCATCATCCTACTACTTAATGCTAACTAACACCAAACCAAAACTTAAGGAAGAATTAACCAGAATGCAACTTGCCTGGTACTGCACATTGTGATGTTATAATCTGCTTCATCATTTCTCTTTGCTGAAATAGAAGACAAGATATTTTTAATATACATTTTTCTAGTATGCATGTATTAGTATCTAAGTATTTACATTCAATACTAATGTAAGGAACAATTTAATTGGTTCTACTTTTCACATTATACTAGTCGGAAATGTAAAATGTATGTTAGTGTAAAATGCATCATTTCCAGTTCGCTCAAAATAGTTGTCATGACGATACATTAGGGCCCCACTATAACATGGTTCATATCAAAACTACCATGTTATAATGAGGTCCTTTCAAAAGTGCCTAGCCAGTAGCCAAAATAATACAAAACTAGAGATAACTGATTACAATGGCCTCATAAACAGATAAGTCATCTGATCATAACATTTACCTCTCCGTATTTAGAGTTAATGACCACATTATTTTACACCAATTACATGAAACTAAGTTCTATGTATAAATAAAAAATGTTTTATGGAAAACACTCTGCAAACTGTTTTGAAAAAGAACTTTAATATGCTCGCAATTTTCAATAAATCTGTTAAGTCAATTCAAAGAACCCTTTCCTTACCCCTTATTTGAGATCCCAACTTAAAATTTCAAACCTAAACTCACATACTTATCTTGAATGGTTATTTATGTGTCCTTTCCAACTTTCAGTTAAATCTATGGAACAGGTTCTGTGAGCTCCCAAACTCCTTTTCATTTCCATTTTAAGGCTCAAATTCAAAAATCTCAAAATTTGAATTAATAAAATTATTTTGAACAGCCTTTTGCATGTTAATACCAATTTTTAAGTAAATCTATTCAGTAAAAACCGCTGACCCCCTCATGATTCTATAAGAGAAAAAAAATTTAAGTTCTTTGTAAATTCAAAAGCCCACATGCAAGAGTTTTAAGTCACTCAGTCAGAACTGTGGTAGTTAAAATAACACAGAAACATATATAAATACAATTGATAATTAAAACACAGATAACTAACGTATATTTCTTGAACTATTAGGTGATTCTTAATCATCAGTTTGTCACTTTCTGCCTTGTGACTGTGATCAATCCATTTGGGTCAATCAAAAGTATTAACTTCATTTTAGAAGTGAAACAACGGACTTCTTAGTCACTTCATTGGAATATTTCTTTTTTTTTTTTGTTTGTTTTTAGTTCAAAGCTACACAATAGACTATCTGACCTCTGTCCACTATGGGGAAGTGAATGATGGATTCTTAGCATTTTAAGCCTGGAGACTTAATGCTGACCCCCCTGGAGACTTATTGAAATAACATTTTTAGCTCAATAGGCAGGTTACAACATTAAGTAATCACAAGGAAACTGAGATCAACGCATTTTCAATACTCAGAAAACAAGTCCAGTGTAATGATTCTTCAATCGCAGTGAAAATCCTGACAGAATTATGATAGATACTATGAAACTTGATGTACCACTCTTATTAGTCAAATAGATATACATCTCTACAAAACTACTAAATTGTACCAAAATTTACACCCAGGTTACTGTCCATGAAAGAAGAGCCTGAACATAATGACCCATCATCATTCTCCAGCATCTATAAAAAGTGATGTACTACTGTTATATCTAATAATATCAATAAACAGTAAAAAACTGTACATTATATTTACTACATACATCAAACTACTTAAATGATATAAAAGTTCATGATTTAATTGTCTTCATTGTTAATATTAAAACCAAACCACTCCAGTAATCAAACTCATTCTAACATTACAGTACTTTAAAGGACAGAAATAATGAAGAAATATTTTTATAAAATGGTATTTTAATTTGTATAGAAAGTTTCTATGTGATAAAATATTTTTTATACTTCGACAAACATGGTGTCATATTTTATTACTATATAACTAAGTTATCACACAAATGAATTTCCAAAGATGCAGATTTCTTTCTTTGAAAAATAATTTTAAGAGTAGTTAGAAAATCTAAGAAGTTACAAATTTTTTCTCTCTATTAGAATTTAAGTTTAAGCATCTGATCATAAATTAACAATGTAGACAGTTGTTAATCATATTTATACTTGTGTATAGCCAATCAAAAATGACAGGTGTTAAGAAAACTCTGTAAAGATTGCTATAAATTAACTAATGAAAATTACAGGAAGAAGGAATTGTACACTATAATTCAGAACATAATAATGACAGGTCAGTTTTAGTGAAGGGAGATGGATGGA